AGCTGCCACTGTTGGGCCCTTGAGCAAGGCCCTTAAACCTCTCTGCTCCAGGGGTGCTGTATCATGGCTGACCCTGTGTTCTGACCCCAACTTCCTAACATGCTGGGGTTTTTAGATAGAGGATGTAGTTCATACAGAAAAGCCTAGAATGAAAGAAAAAAAAATATCTGCGAAAAGTTTGGAATGCACCATACACAAGGGGCACCTCATGCTTAAAAAGTTTGAGAACCACTGGTTTATACGATTTCCTGGCAGAATCATAATGTTCTCATAGTCCAAACTTGATTGGATGATTGGATCAATACTCTATAAAGGTGCAAAAGAATAGTGTACTTTGCCCCCCATTTAGTTTTGATTGCAACTTTTTGATGTCTTTGACTGGTTCTGATACTCCTGTGACTCCATTTGTATAGCAAAAGGGGGTAGTTCAGTAAGGGGCACATCAGTAGAAAGTGACTCTAGGAGAAGAAATCTTTGCCAGTTTTAAAATCCTAAAAATAAAAAGAAATTAATCAGCGTTTGTCCAAGTCCTGGTCCAATATCAGTCTTTTAGTGTTCCGTTTGTTTGCCATGTTTGAAGTATGTTTGTTCATCATCTCTGCACCTCACCCACCTCAGAGTCCAAGGGTGTGTACAAGTCTGCGGGAATCCACCAGATGTACACCAAGGATACAGGAATGAAATACTCGAGCATAAAACAGGGCTCATACAGATGCTTCATAATGAATTTCCAGGACTTTCAAGGATTTTTCAAGCACAATTTTTTTTGTTTTCAAGGACTATACGAGAAGTCATTCAAACATTCTTATACATTATAATAATAAAATTTTACATGGTGCCTTTTCTAGCCATGCTGGACTAAATTTGCATTTCCCAGACATCTTCGTCTTCACCATAATGTGACAAATATCGCTGTATGAGGTCATGCGCTAAGTAGCATATTCATTATATCATTGCATATTTGCATTCTGCCTAGTGTCAACTCCTTACATCTGTTTACTTCTCTCCTACTCTGTGCTCACATGCTGTATTTTAATACAGCCGAATTTCCAATAAAGCTGTTCTCATTTAAAATTTTACAAGTTTATGTTGTCAACGGAACAAGTATCAAATAGTGACTGAAAAGCAGCGCATTAAGACTACATGTTAACCAGCAGTGACTTCCAAGCTGCTGCTCTGCATTGACAAAATCCTGATTTTATAACCACAATGTCGTCTGACAAAATCACCAGACATAAGTTAAAGACAATGGCTGTGCTGTGATTTTGCCGATATATACATGTAAAATGATCGCTCAGAGAGAATGTCTTTCTTATTCTTTCTCTCAGATTGAATGTGCTGCACTTCTCTGTCCCTCACTGAACAGAGCAGCCACAGAGAAAGGTGTGCCTGCAGCAGGAAAGCAGGACCTTGTGCTCGTGGTGCAGTACTGCTCACTCTCTTCTATAGAAAGTAGCTAATGTTTGTCCAAAATGTTGCTATATTTGTCACCAGGATTTTTTTTTTTGGCGGAAAAAAAGCGGCCTGAAAAGTGGACCGGGGCTGTTTCTGTCAAAATGAGTAGCGGGAGGGGGGGATGGCCTGCAGCAGGGTGTCATATATTGAGTGAAAGGATTGTATTCGCGTTCTATCAAAAATGAACACTTTAAAGCGATTTCATATTTATTTACTTTTTATAATTCAAGCACTTTTTAAGCACCACTAGATACAAAATGGCCATTTAAGGTTTTACTTACATTTACAAAAGCCAAATTCAAGCACCTTGTACAAACCCTGATATAAACAAGGATTATACTACTCCTCAATTGAGCCCATGCAAACACCTTCTGGGAAATTAAAAAAAAATATGGTTGATTGTAATACCAAAACAAATATAGGCCAAGTCATCACAAGCCGATTGATTGGAATGAGCCTTTCCAACCTCTAGTCTGAATGAAGTAGAAGTCAAAGTGATGTGTTGGATATATGGAAGCCGCAGCAAGCCAAAATCCTCAAGCACCAGGATCTCTTCCTCCACTGACACGACGCAACTCACGGCCAACAAGTTGCCCCATTTGTCACCTTTGATGATCAGCAAGGGGGTGCTAGGGAGCTATTCTATCCCAGATCCCCATAGCGATATTATACATATTAAATACTTATTAAAATATCTTAAGATACTTAACATATCTTAATATTTCTCTTCATTAGATTATTAAGATTATTAAGCCTATTTCTAGATATAGACATTCATGCTGTGATTAAGTTGCTGTTCTTTTGCAAGGAGGCTACTGATCATGTGTAGAGAGAGTGCCACCACTGTAGCTGGTTGCTCAATGGAGCAATCGATAGTTGTAAAACTGACCCCACTCTCCCCTAGTTTCTAAGTTTACTACAGATGTACTGGAACAGAAGATGGAAAGCAGTCTGAATTTTAGACCAGATGGAAGCAGTCAAGCATTGCTATATGCAGTGCTGCTGTGCTTATAGAGCAGAACTGCTCCTCAAGCTTATTGAGAGTGCTGGTGCTGTAACGTTGGGTAGTACAGTACAAATCTCCTGCTGACTTTCATACAGTGGTGGAAGCCAAGCTAATCGACTCAAGCTAGAAGGCACAGCAGGGCAAAACACAGAGTCCAAATGTTGCAATCTGCTGCTTGCTTGGGTTGTTTCACAAGACTGGCAATTTGCTCAGGGCTCTCATTGTTGTGTACAGTACACCGATTAAGTCCTGACATGCTATTTGGGTGCTATCCACCTCAACAAGCTGCTCCGAGTGTGGGACTGAGCTCCGGGCTTTCCATGACACATCTGATAGCTTGCATGTCTCAGATCATAGGTTATAGACCAACAATAGATTTTTGCTCTTATTGTAATTCAATGAACAAAGCAAAGTACCATAACAGTTCATAAACAAAGCATACACATTAATAGCAAACCATTCATTTGGAAAGTGTAACTTCCATCTGTTGTCCATTTGAAGTGATATGGTTCATTCTGAAACAAATGTAAATACAATGAAAACAATCACATGCTGGTTACTGTAACTCCGCCCTTCCATGGAAGCTGTGCTGCTGAACAGATGGACACCGTGATGAATTATATATCCTTTATAAGCAAAAGAATGTATGGGAGTTTCAAAACCTCACCCCACTAAATAACAAATGTGAGGACGCAACACACAGAATGCTTCTTCCATCCAAGGCAATCATCTTTTCTCTGTGTCTTCTAAAGATACTCACTTGAGTCATCCACACTATATCTGTAGGCAGGCAATCAGTCAACAAAAGTCAACTGAAACTTTTAAACCTTACATAAAACTTGTTATATAGAGATGAATGATGGTGGTTGAAAAGGAAAAAAAAAAAAGAAAAAACAACACACCACCTCAGGTTTGATATAGGTACCAGTTAATGCTCAATTTATAGCTTTCTATTAAGCCAGATGACTAGCTTGCAGTCGCAGCAGAACGCATGCTGCTGTGAAACACAAGCACCCTGTAGCAATAACCTTGATGTTCACAATATAGGCAGTGCTCATGTTCTAGGAGTTACTGTTAAGTTACTTGAAAATACTGTACTTCCCACTCCAAGTTAGCCATCAATTCACCTGCATTTTGAAATTAGTATTCGATTTGGGTGCTGGCAGCAGTGGTTAAAATGTTGGATTTCTGATTGGTAGGTCATGAGTTCAAATCCCAGCACAGCCAAGTTGCCACTACTGGGCCTTTCAACAAGGCAACTGCTCAGTTGTATAAATGCCATAAATGGAAATGATTTGGCATCCAAACTAGACACTGCCTTATACAACACTACTTGTAAACCTTTTTGAGACTAAAGTTAATCTATTTAAAACAAGCTGAGTCATAAACAGCATTCCACTGGAAGTGAAACAATCACACTAATCAGGTGCAAAATTAATTGGAGTACTGAAGCTGACACTAAAAAGTGAGCAGACCTCCAACCATTATTCAGTGGCAGCCTGATAAGATGGACTGAGTGGTTTAATCATTATGAACACAGCATACACATTCCCCGGAGGAAGAGTGACAGTGATAATGTTCAGGCTTGGTTGGGAGTAGGAGTGGACGTCTTAGTTTATAAGAAACTGTCAGAATATTCGAAACATACCAAAAATACAAACCAGTGCAGAACAGAATAGTCTCACAAGCAAAAGCATAAGCTCCTTCTGTACATAGTATGATTATTTATAGATGAAAACTACTGGGCCACATTAAGTGTGACGTAACAATTTGCAACTTTCAGACCGAACTTTGTTTTTTTTTTTTTTTTACAAACATCGCCTCACACTACAGGATGTGTTTTGCGACATTCTAGAAGCTTTGGTGGCTTGAGGTTCTGGCTCTCCAAGTAAAAAATGAGCAGCATTAGGATAAGACATGTTACCTGATAGGCAGATGAAAGTCATGTAGTCGCCCTGACCACCTGTAGCCAGGAAGGGAATCTTCTTCTTCGTCCTCCTCTTCACCTGCACGGCTGCCAACATCCTCTCGTTGTGTGGGATAAAGATCTCTTTGTTGATGGCTGACTTGGCACTCATTGTTGCCAAATTCAGTTATAATCTTAGAAATACGGTTCCGAGCTCTTCACCCTGACAAGAAAAGTAAGACAGACTTAATAACTGCCATGTGGCCTTTGTTAACTGCTAAGGAATGCATACAAAGTGTCACACTGACTATAATGCAAAGCACCTAGGGGCCCTGGTGGGGGTTTATCTTCAAATATGAGAAAAGAAAATCAGCAGCACAGTATCCTCAATCATTCATCTGTTCTTCCGTTAAGCATATTCCTAAAAGCAGAGGATAACATCTTAGAGAACATTCTTCAAGTGGTAAACATAGCACAAATCCTGAACTATTACAGTTTATAGTTTCATATACAATGAGCTTAACAATTGAAGCTTATATTCCCACAAATTATTGTTTACATGATGTGGTTAAAAGCATAATGTTTAACAAAAGAGGCTCAGCATGTTAGTGCGATAATGACTGTCAAAACAGA